CATTAGAAAAGGCCCTAACTGGCTGGTCCGATGAGCGGAAGCTTTACAAAAGCTTAGCGGATTATGATAAATTAGAACCTCCGAAAGGCTCTGGCCATTTCACGCAAATGGTCTGGGTGGCTACCACCACGGTTGGATGCGGTCGAGCCAAGTGTAGAGGCCTTATCTCACCAGGGCAGGATTCATGGTATTTAAAGTTCTCCTTATTTGAACTCTGCAGGGAGCCCTAGGAGATTGAATCAACTAACGAGAGTTTTTCTGCTTGTAGGTATGTTGTGTGCGCATATCTTGCACGTGGTAACTATCGGGGGCAATATCATCTGAACGTCCGTAAACCGGTCAGACGTCAGAACCGTTAGAGAAAATGTTTGTAAAGGCTCACAGATTGTGGTAAGTAAATTATATCCCTATATATATGTGCGCTGATCTGCAAGATTCTGACAAGAATGTAGCTCGGTACTCCCACTATCATGTTGGTCCGGAAACATATCCAGGGGTCATAAATATCGCTTTGTTTTGCAATAAGATTTCATAAGCAGGTCAATAGATTTTCAAATAAATATACCTATGGTTCCCTCAAGCTGTTTTAGTGTGATCAACTGAAATGTTGCTATGTGCATAATCTGAGAAAATGCTAATTCAGTGCGACAAATACGATTGAAGTGAGTCGAGGACTTGATCATGAGAGTATCATTAATAGTAAATTTGGCTTTGTCTACTATTAGTTCGTTCGTTCCTCTGTAGATAGGAGAATATGGGTAATGGGTTGAAGAAAGAAGGAAAGAGAAAAATCTAGCCAGATGGAGAGAAAAAAAGAGAGAAAAGGGAATTGAGTGGGAGAAATCAAGTACATGTATCTATGACGTCCTGTGTATTGTCCTATTAATGGCCTATCCAAATCTTCTCGCAAACTCTAGCTAGAGCTTGAAGTCGAAGTTTTGTCTGTGCACATAGACCCGGATTGGGGGATTGAGGGAGCTAGCTCACCAAAGTAAGCTAGAGTCGCCGGAGTGCTACGTAGACATGTGGAATATTTATAACGAAATGATTACTTGCTGAATTCTCTGAGGACATTTATTTCATTACGAAAGCTGGCTTACGATTGAGCTATCCTCCAAGAATGTAGTATCGCCGGGAGATTACAGAGATGGTGTATTATTGAGCACAGGTAACTACATGTACGTACAGCACCATAAACATACATGTACATGTACTTTTAAGAAACAGTCTTTTTTTCGAAGCTATAGCTAGAATATTAATACGATATCAGGATACCCGTATGATCCGAATTATCCTCTCAATAGGGCCCAGACGCGTTGGACGTATAACGGCTATCCGGGCCCGGAGTCTCTCCCCATTTTCAAAGAAGTCAGGTTCCCGTCGTCTCTGTTTACATATGCGGAAGAGAGGTTGGAATAGGTAAGACACCGAGAGTACACGCATCTTTATTTACTACACGTTTTGAGCCCAAGTTCTATCAATTCTAACCTCGTATTAACCCACACGTACTCCTCTATGTCTGTAAGCCTTTTTTGATTTCCAGACCCGTGAATAGACACTAGGTGTGTACACAATCTCCAGCTCCGAGACACACTCGCGCCTGATCCTTCTGAAATCATCTTCATTGAACAGGTTATGAATAGTTGTAAGTTAGCACGGGCATCTTTCCGCCAACCATGCATTTCAAGACCCGAAGTTCCGGGGTCTATGAATCGACCATTAGCTACGCTACCAGTGGCAGTAACAGTAGTACTACCTGCCACCCTTGTATGCGAATAATTATGAATGCAACCCCAATACATATACTTAACAAAAGCAAATATTAATATACGGTTACTAGATTCGGCTCGCTACACAGGTGAGTAGAGTATTACACCCCACTAATGTTATGCCCCTTTCTCATTTGCGCCGATCCTCCATCGCGCAAAGCTTCCCGTAACGTTAACATGGACACATCGGGTACTATCCATTGAACCTTTACGTCCTAACCCTGGATAGCTGTATCTATAACCAGCTGAAATCTTTGACGGTTGTCCCTTGGGCGATAAATTATCGGGGATCAATGATGAGTGAACTTGGCATCCTGGATAACCTAACCCTTTGTGCTCACTACTGAGCTGTCAATCATACCTCCTTAATATATTAATTTCTTAAGATCTTGCAGAAGAATCACGTTATATACTTTAACATATTGCCGTTCCTACTTACGTGACCTTGACCTCTTCGCTTATTCGTTCGGTATCGGCATTTCTGCTTCATTTCAACCCTTTCGGGGCCTCGGTGGTTTTTCTTGAGATTCGAAACTGCCTGCTAAGGCACAGTGCTCCGCCCCATGCCCGTGTAGTGGATTTTTGCATGATCTACCAATCCATCGGAAATCTCCGCCGCTTGCAATGTAGTGGGCCACATGGGTGCTTTTCTTACCCTTTTTGAAGTCTGGAGAGGACTTCATCGCAAGCTGTTTATCGGTAGTTGCTGAAGAATGTCCAGAGTTCCATTGCTGAGAGCCCCACTAGCTGCCATGTGCCTTCAAGATCTGCATAGGGTCTATCCTTGAACTGTTTTATTAGGAAGTCATGTAGGACTGGATATCCAACAAGCAAACAATTGTGCCATATATCTATTTATTTTTATAATAACCTTTTTGTTTGACCCACGTTCTATCTTTGTAATTGTAGTAGTTCATTTTTGGTAAGAATCATCATTCCCAATCCGTCAAACCTTGCAACAGGCTCGACCTAGTTGGTAGCCGTTTCTAGCAATCACCGTCCCTTTTGGTACCAATCCCGGAGGCATCCTACGATTTGTGAACATTTGGAAGTGATAATGTAAGCTTAATTGGTACGGACCGCGCGGCAAGCCTCAGAACCATGAAGGTACATGTCCCCGCCTAGGATAATCCTTTGTACGGATCTGGAAATACTTGGATGTCCCTGTACCCCTGCCAAGGTGTGAGGAGATGCATAGTGTAGTAGACCCATGGTAAATGTTTTCAAAAGCATTGAAACGAGTTGTATTTAGAACCCGTAGTAGTGATGTAAAATGGAGATAGATCGAATATCATCATCATGATCTACAGATACAAATCATGTTCGCCCAATATCATATCCTAGACGCCTGCTGTTGAGGGGCTCTGCGAGCCCCAGATTAACCCTGTGATCATACGCTTTTGATGGATCTTCTAAGTATACTATAGTTGGCCTTTTCTAGGTCTAGTTATCGATCACGATAAAAATATCGTTGAATTCATAAACTCACCTCCTGTGAAGTATTCCCGTTATAAAGGGAGTTTCTTTACACCTGTCGATATAAACTCATGTAACCCCAATTGTTATAAAAGCATGTAGAACTAGGGCCGAGGGATGTAATGGTAAAAAATAACCCCCCATCGATATAGCATTCGGGGCTCAATTGCTCACAGACTACCTTTCATGAATAAGCCCACACGATGAATTCTAGAAAATAGTAGTATTTTTTTAGTAGTCTGAAAGCTGTGATAATCCCACCTTTTCCTGGAATTTAGTGGGTTGTTTTGCGTATAAATTCAGGTGCGCGGTTATTTTTGTAACAAGTGTCTAAAAACTCTGGCTACAAGTCAGTGTTGAAGCCTTGGCATTTTTGTTCACAGGTGTGGAATCAGTTCAAGCTCCTCCCCGTACCCAGCTTCCGGCCATACTCCCTTCTCTCCGGGTATGTACCAACACTACAGCGTTTTGTTCGAAACTAAGTTTAACAGGGTCTCCAAAGAGTCCGCTTCGGGGGTCTAATCTCTCCTGAAGCCTTGCTACATCGAGTAAATACCTGTAGCTGTCAAATCACTTGCTTGATTCCTTAAACCTGGGGTTAATATTCCCAAGCCTCGACCACGGCTGATTATATGAAGAAACCGTGCGTAGGAGTACGGGAGTAGTCAATTAAAGAAGGTGTATAAGTGCATTATCGTACTACCTGTTAGGCCTGTAGAGAGGTTCCTATGGTGTAATGTAAGCTCAAAGGAATTCGAAGTAAGCTCAAGGGAAGTACGGAAATCAAACAACCGGCCAAACATCTGTCCTCCACGATCTCGCCTCGGCACTCACTTCGAGATCTACCTGTGGCGTGTCTGGCAATGTTTACCACTCTTGTGCCTCACCTATCATGACGATGCTCCGCCAGCTTCCTTCTGGGGGGTGGCTCTTGGTAGGCTCTGTAGGTGACTTGATTGGACGAGGATGTCGCATGATGGCTCAATCAGGCGCAATCTGTAACGACCAAGACCCCTGGTGTGCTGAAAAGGAGCAAGGCGCTAAGGCGAAATCGTGTGGCGTCACAACCTTTTGTAGTTTTAGCCGAAGCCCGTTAGGCAGGTAGGAAGCAGGGCCGCAGGCAGGCGATGAGGGATGATGGGTGTGGATGACCATCCTCCCGTCGCTTATGGGATTCTGGAGGGTCGATAGCCTATTCCTGATTCCACGCTAATGCAAGGTACCAAAACGTTGCCCAGTAACTGGACCCTGGCGCTGGTAGACAGGGTGGTTAACGCCTCCTGAAACGATACGCACTGACTATCCCGCTGCACGATTAGAACTTTCTCTGCTTGTGAGCGAGTGAGGAGTGGAACCTGCCAAGGGAGGGGGATATGGAGAGGAAATGCTCCGTTGGCTCGGGACCTTCGGAAGATGCTAGGAATAGCCTGCGGCCTTCTACTCCTGCCCATGGAATACATGTGAATCACTATTCAGAGGATTTACTACAAAAGATGGCCGTTCCCCCCTCATGTATGCTCTTCAGTTGTTTTCAACATCACCACACACGCATTTGCTTCAGGCAGTGCCATTCGTTTTTTTTCTTCCTCTTTCTACCTTTTCTGTATTCCCTTTTTGTCCCTCTTTAGTACTGCTAGCAGTATAGTCACTCACTATCACTCACTATCACTCACTATCACTCACTTGATATATATACAATACATATTACCGCTCTTTTGGTATCCTTTCACATTTGTCTTTAAAACTTATATCAAGATGCGTACAGGAAGCGCATTTTCTCTACTTGGGCTTTCAGCCCTTGTTCTGCAAGGTGTAGCAGCAAAAGTATGGTAAACTCCTTGACGCAAGTAGTGATTATGGTCTAACAATCAATTATAGGGTTGGCGTGATCAAGAAGAGTACTCTTGCCCCTCAAACATCAAGAACGATTGTACAACACAGGAGAGCGAGGGCTTTGATTGGAGTGATTTGGACCTAGGATCATTCGATTCTTACAACGATTACAAGTTTTCGGGTTGGAGTTGTGCCAACAAGCTTGGGAAGAGAAATCTTGAGGGACGAACATTCAATGTAAGACGATCATTGCTAAGAATAATGGTAGTGATATCAGTACTAATACTCTCTATTAGAGCAAATGCATTGAGTCAGACTTGAGCAACAGCGATTTCAGCAATGAGATTAGCTGTGACAAGGCCTTCTCTATTGGCGAGCTCGACATCTCTGTTGACGTCGAGACCGATGTCGAATTCCATTACGGAATGGAGGATGGCTCTACTTGCAAGCAGACAAAGAGATGTGGAACTGAAGGTACTACTGTCACCAACGATCAATGTGGTGGAGCAAAGACTGTCAAGGTCAAGCTTCCAAAGAACAGCGAGAATACATCATGCAAGCTCGGAGTCCACAAGGTCAAGTTTGAGTGTGGAACTACTACTACTAGCGTCCCGGTCCCTACTACTACAATCCCTACTGTTATCAGCTCTACTTCTTCAGTTAAGGCTACTACCACTTCTGCCAGCAAGACATGCACTATCCCCAGCGATTGCTCAGGTGATTCTTGCACTATGCCCGCTGGCTGCACTGGAATCACTCCAACTGGCGGTGTCGGTGTCACTTCGGTCACTTCTTCTGTTGGAACTACCACTACTCCCGTCTCGGAGACTTGCACTGTTCCCAGTGACTGCTCTGGCGAGACCTGTACTATGCCCGCTGATTGTACCTCCGGCACCGTAAAGCCTACCGCCACTACCTCTTCTGTCGAGGGTACTACCACTGCTCCATCAGAGACATGCACCGTTCCTTCAGACTGCTCTGGGGAGACCTGCACCATGCCTGCCGATTGCACCGGTACCAACCCAACTGGAGGAGTCGGCATCACTTCAATCACTTCCACTGCCGAGACTGCCACCACCACTGGGCCTTCAGAGACTTGCACTATTCCTTCAGACTGCTCTGGTGACTCGTGTACCATGCCCGCTGACTGCACTGGTACCAACCCAACCGGCGGCGTTGATGTCACCTCAGTCACTTCCACTGCTGTGACTGCTACCACCACTGGACCTTCAGAGACTTGCACTATTCCTTCAGACTGCTCTGGTGACTCTTGCACCATGCCTGCCGATTGCACCGGTACCAACCCAACTGGAGGAGTCGGCATCACTTCAATCACTTCCACTGCCGAGACTGCCACCACCACTGGGCCTTCAGAGACTTGCACTATTCCTTCAGACTGCTCTGGTGACTCGTGTACCATGCCCGCTGACTGCACTGGTACCAACCCAACCGGCGGCGTTGATGTCACCTCAGTCACTTCCACTGCTGAGACTGCTACCATCACTGGACCTTCAGAGACTTGCACCATTCCCTCAGACTGCTCTGGTGATTCTTGCACCATGCCCGCAGACTGCACCTCTGGCACCGTCAAGCCGACCGACAGCACCCCTCCCGCTGGCCCCACTACCACCCCTGCCTCTGAGACCTGCACCGTCCCCAGCGATTGCGAAGGCGCATCTTGCACCATGCCCGCTGATTGCACCGGTACCGGCCATACTGGCGGTGTTGGTATTACTTCTCTCACGTCCACTGCTGGAACTGCCATCACCACGAGCCTTTCAGAGACCTGCACCGTCCCCAGCGATTGCGAAGGCGCATCTTGCACCATGCCCGCAGACTGCACCGGTACCAACCCCACTGGCGGAGTCGGCATCACTTCAATCACTTCCACTGCCGAGACTGCCACCACCACCGGACCCTCAGAGACTTGCACCGTTCCCGCGGACTGCTCTGGCGAGACATGCACCATGCCCGCAGGCTGCACTGGCATTACTCCAACTGGCGGCGTTGGCATCACTTCAATCACGTCCACCGCGCCTGGAACCGCTGTGACCACTGGCCCCTCGGAGACCTGCACTGTTCCCAGCGACTGCTCCGGCGAGACCTGCACTATGCCCGCTGATTGTACATCTGGCACCGTCAAGCCGACCGACAGCACCCCTCCTGCTGGACCCACTACTACTGCTCCTGCCTCAGAGACTTGCACCGTCCCCAGCGACTGCGAAGGCGCATCTTGCACTATGCCCGCTGATTGCACCGGTACCGGCCATACTGGCGGTGTTGGTATTACTTCTCTCACGTCCACTGCTGGAACTGCCATCACCACCAGCCCTTCAGAGACCTGCACCGTCCCAAGTGATTGCACCGGAGAGAGCTGCACTATGCCTCCTGGCTGCCCCCAGACCACCTCCGTCCCAGCCATCGGTGTCTCTACCACTGGTGAAGTCAAGCCCACTGATACCACTTCTTCCGCGGCTGGAACCACCACTGCCCCGGCCTCAGAGACCTGCACTGTCCCAAGTGACTGCACTGGTGCATCCTGCACCATGCCCGCCGACTGCACTGGCATCAACCCCACTGGCGGCGTCGATGTTACTTCGCTCACCTCCACTGCCCAAACTGCCACTACAACTGGTCCTTCCGAGACATGCACCATCCCTAGCGACTGCTCTGGTGATTCTTGCACCATGCCTCCCGGCTGCCCCGCGACTGCCACTGTCCCAGCTACCGGTGTCTCTACCAGCGGTGAGGTCAAGCCAACTGACACCACCTCGTCCGCGGCTGGAACCACCACTGCGCCTGCTTCGGAGACTTGCACCGTTCCTAGCGACTGCACTGGCGCGTCTTGCACCATGCCCGCTGGCTGCACCACCGTCCCGGCCCCTACTGGCGGCGTTGATGTGACTTCAATTACCTCTTCTGCTGGAACCCCCATCACTACCTCCCCGGCTGAGACCTGCACAATCCCCAGTGACTGCTCCGGTGACTCGTGCACCATGCCTCCTGGTTGCCCTGCGACTACTTCCGTTCCCGCCATCGGTGTTTCCACTACTGGTGAGGTCAAGCCCACTGATACTACTCCTGCCGTTGGAACCACCGCTGTCCCTGCAACCTGCACGATTGCCAGCGATTGCACTGGAGCAACATGCACCATGCCCGCCGGCTGCCCACCAACCGCCACTGCCTCAGTCCCAGCTTCCGAGACCTGCACCGTGCCCGCTGACTGCTCTGGCGACGCCTGCACCATGCCCGCTGGTTGCCCTGCCACCACCACCGGCGTCGTTGGAACTACCGGCACCGACGGTGTTACCGCAACCTCCACTGGCGCCGCCTCAACCTCCACTGGCACCACCCGCGGTCTCAACGGCAGCACAGGCATCACCTCCGCCGGCAGCTCCACCATCAAGGCCACCGAGTCGATCCCACCCTCGTCCAGCACCGCCGGCGTCCCCGCGGTCACCATGCCCGCCACCGAGTGCCCCGACCTCCTCCCCAGATGTCTCAAGACCTGGATCTTCATCACCAGCTGCACTGACACCGCCGACCCATCTTGCTACTGCCCCGAGGAGGACTTCGTCAACAAGGTCGTTGGCTGTCTTGATGCGTGGTCGTCGGACGACGGCGAGGTTACCAGCGCCGTCGAGTACTTCCTCGGTCTCTGTGCGCCGTACGTCGACGAGAACCCGGCCATTGTCACGGCTATCCCGTCGACCATCACGCTGCCGACCCCGTCGCCGGATGTCCCGAATGTCACAATCATCCAGACGATCACCACTGTTGTGCCCTGTGAGCCGACCACTGTCACTACTGGCTCTGCGTCTGGCACGGTTGTCACTGTGACTACGTCCACGGCCACCCAGACCCTCACGATCCCGCAGGTTACCTTGGTTGTCACCGCCACTGACGCAACGCTCGTCTACCCAACCTCTGACGTCGCCGCCACCTCTGCGCCGCCGGCCACAGCCACCACTATCCCCACTGGCGTCCCTGCAACCACCACGCCGGTTTCTACTACGCTGAAGGCAATTGAGACGTCTCTTCCCTCTTCTGAGGCGGGTGCTTCTCCCTCTTCGGAGTTGGGCACTTCTACAACCCTCAAGGCCATCGGAACCACTCCTGCGGTGACCAGCGCCCCCGGATTGACCACCGCTCCGGCCGCTCCTACGACGTTGGTGACCTCTGTTGGCTCGGGCGCTAATGCGACCGGCAGCGCGGTCCCGGTGACTACTAGTGGTGTTCCGCTCTTTACTGGTGCGGCATCGGGTATTGTTCCTGGTACTATTGTCGCTGTTGTTGGAGCCCTCGCTGTGGTGCTTCTGCAGTTGTAGATTTGATTAGTTGTAGATTTGATTAGTTTTTGATTTTCTTTATTTTATTGTTTTTTTGTTTTATATTATTTTATTTTTTTAGCGTCTGGTTGGGGAAATGATAATGGAGGGTTGAGTCTTTTTTTCTTTGGTTAATGGTTTTTTGGTACATGGACGATTTTATTTTTTGGGGGGAAAAATGTCTGTAGACCCTATCAATCTTGTTTTGCGCGGAGGGCCAATACGTTACCCCGTGTGCGCGATGGTTAGTTTTAATTTTTGTATGGATCTTGCAAATATTACTTGAACTTGATTCCTCAAAAAAAAACAGCCCATATCCGTTCGGGACAATTCTCTAGAATGCATTCACTGTTCAGTAATCACCACTACCACAGCCCACTAAATCGCAATCAACCACACAGAGTAGAATAAAAGGACCTTCTCACCTGCAGTTACCCAGTAAAGTTTCTCGGTAAAAACTTTCTTTCAGATAGAGTATTCCAGTGCGCCCCCGCCTGCAGATAAAGTACCCGGCTGGGCTGGGCACTCTAATAGCATGCAGGGGGTCTCTGGTCGACGGCACCGGGTGAATCTGCGTTCCACGTTTCAAGTTCCGCCGCGTTGAAACAAGGCAGCCAACCCCCGTCGACGGCCTCTTCTGAGCCCGCGTTCAGCTGGTGATGCTGCTGCTGCTGTTGGGGGCGGGGTCTGTCTGCGCAGGGGGCAGGGGAGGGAGGGGAGGACGGTTGGATTGCCACCCTTGCTTGGTGGAGTGTTCTAGAGGCGGGCTGCTATGCTGCCGTTCGTTCGTTGTAGGGATCCAACTGCTGCTGCTGCTGCGTGATATCAGGAGGCACAGTAGATCCTGCAAAGACGGATACCTAGGACAGATGGAAATGGCGGAAACGATTGGAGATGCTGATTTTTGCACATTCTCGGTGTTTCTTTGTGCATGCAGTCGGAACTTGACGGTTGAGGCGCTCTCGCCAAGAAAACGTGGACGGGGCCAGAGAGAGAGCTCTCGTGAGTGATGTGATGTCATGGCCCAACGTCGACATCAAAACTCACTCGGCTTGACCTTCACAGGATATCACTTGGTAAAACTGCTCACCGGTCCGACACATCTGCTTGATTAAACCACACTGGAATCTCACCAAAAACCTCACTAAATCCTCACCAGAACCTCCACCATGAAGCGCATGCAATCCGCCCCCTGGAAACCCCTCTTCCAAACCCACGTCTCCAAGATCACCCCGCCGACCTTCACCCTCGCAACCCTCTCTACCAGCCCGCCCACGTCCACCACAAACCCGGGCTTCCCCAACCCTCACACCGATGCCCCCTCCACCCCCTCCACCTCCTCCACGCCCACCTTCACCCCCCGCTGCCGCACCATGATCTTCCGCGGCTTCCTCGCCTCCCTCCCCCCCAACCACCACAACCCGCTCGCCAACCACAACCCGCGCGCCTACACCTCCGACGCCCTCACCTTCACCACCGACTCGCGCATGACCAAGACGGGCGAGCTCCTGCCTCCGCACGCCTCCGGCGGCAGCGCCGAGGTGCTCTCGGCCGGCGGAGGCTACGTCGAGGCCCTCTTCTGGATCGCCGGCGACACCACCACCGGCGAGAACATCCAGAACCAGTGGCGCGTGCGCGGAAAGTGCTATCTGCTCGCCGAAGGCGACGCAGATGAGGCAAAGGAGGTCACGGATGTGCTGAAGCAGAGTCTGGTGCCCACGGGCGAGGGGGATGAGGGGAGCTGGTCGTGGAGGAGGGAGGTGCAGGCGCATTTTGGGAATATGACGCCGGCGCTGAGGGGGTCGTTTGCGAATCCGCCGCCGGCGAGTGCGCTGGGGGTGCCGTTGGGGGAGTGGGGGGTTGGAAAGTCGGGGGGTGCGGGGGAGCTGGTGAAAGGAAAGAAGATAGAGAATGAGAATGTGTTGGATGAGGAGGGACATGCGGCGAGGGCGAGGGCGAATATGCGGGTGGGGGTGATTGTGCCTGAGGTGGTTGAAAGGCTGGATTTGGCGGAGGACGAGGGGAGGGCGAGGAGATGGGTATATTCGAAGGTGGGCGGCGAGGATGCGGAGGGTGTGGTTGCGGGGTGGAAGGTGGAGGAGACTTGGCCGTAGGTTCTGTGGGTCTGCAGTTAGATAGTAGTAGGACCAGTAGGTAGCTTAAAATTCAATAGCTATTATTAGCACCACCTGTTCATAAGTCCAATAGCCAGGCTTCAGAGTGAACAAACAAAATAATAAACAAAGATTTATCCTCGTTCACAAATATGGTCAATTCAATCATTGGCCCAGGCTTAATATTGTGCTTAACGAATAAATCAACCAACCAATCATTGACCCATATATTCTATTAATCTATCCCGCGTCAGGCTGCCAGGCGTTTCCAGGCTGCTGGTGATCGAGGTCTCGCTATCTGTGTTGGCCCGCTCTGAATACGCAGATGAAGGAAGTGTGAGAATGATGATTAGATTTAGTCCGTTCAGCAGCTCAACTTTATAGCTTCTCAAACTAACACATATGCTTAACAGGCTACAACCGCGTGGCCATTGCGCCGTGTCTGAACACCTATTCTACTAACGTTGCTAGTTTAGATATCGGCAGGTCGGGGGTTAAGGGCCAATGGGGCTGACCTCAAATGAGGATTTAAACAACCCGTTTTCTACCAGCGCATGTAGGATTAGGCCCCAAATGAGATTTAATACGTCGGCACATAGGGCTTTAATGTGGTTATATATATCATTAGCATGCGGTCCACACAGTGTTACTGTGCTAGTTTTACGTAGAAACGAAAAAGTCAATGATGGCTTTCGGTATATTTGATTTGCGGTTCTCTATAATGCGGAATGGCATTTCAGTCCCACGGCTCGAAATTGCAGAAGGGTATTGTGGAGCAGGCGGACGACAGCATATTGACTGACATGACACCTTGATATGACATTTCGAAGCTATTCTCGTAGCCCCGCTGCTCACAGATATAAGCTGCCCGATACTCAATTGACTCAACGCCGAGAACGATAATTCCGTAGGTTCATCGCGATCGATCCGTAAGGCACCACGGCCCTGTATATATCTTATGTATAATCCAAACACCCCCAACGCACCCAGCTCATAACGCCAGGCCCTAGGGTAAAATATTCTACATCGAAAACCAAACTCAAATCCCAACCCCCCCAAACCACTGACAATGGCTTCACACGTCCAACACCCCCAACCCACGTCCGACGTCTGACATCCAACCCCGATGCCCCCCATCCAAACCCACCCCCCCGCCTCGCGCACTACGGTATCAGCAGCGTCTGTCCCCTATCAATGATCCTTACATCGTCCTTGATCCTCGCCGTCCCGTGCTCTACACGGTTGACGTGGTTCTGGGCCCTGGTGGGACCGTGGAGGAGGTGGTCGACGGAGACGAGGGTGAAGGAGAGGATGAAGGTGGTGGCGAAGACGGCGGCCGTGGAGAAGGAGCGGGGGTGCATTATCGCTGGCATGGTGGGTGTGTTTGGTGAGTGGACCTGGAGTTTTAAAGATTGAGAGTGAGTGGTTTTGCTTGAAACAATAGTTGTAAATGTGGGATGGCGATACCTTGGTGTGTATGTCTGTCTAGGAGGTGCAAATGATGATAGCTAACTGGTATGTTTGTGACTACAGTGTATGTAGAAAGCTCTATGAACGAGTATGCAGCCAAAATGTATTGGTGACAGTTCTCACAAGCTTCATCTACAGCTTAGAAAAGCACTGTGGGGCCCTAGAAATTTTCCACCCTAACCGCTAAAGCCGTAGTAAGAGTGACGTCGTGCAGCTCATTCACAGTCCATCACTCGGCCAACCGTGACCCCTGCTGCTCCACCACGATCACTCCACTTATCCACTTATCCACTGATCCACTGATCCACTGATCCACTGATCCACTGATCCACTGATCCACTGATCCACTGATCCACTCAGCCCTGGCCCGCATGCAGGTACAGAACACAGGCGGGTGTGCGACACACGACACACGACATCCGATCTGCCGGTTGCGTGTGCGGGGCCTGCGGCTCAGATAAGCTTTGCGGCTCTCTCTGTCTGTCTGTCGCTCGCTCGCTGGCTCCGCGGGCCGTGTTGGGGCCAGCACGCACAAAGCTAGCTGGAGGCTAATAGCGTCGAGGCACTGGCTGTTTTCTTATTCGTGTCTGTCTGTCTCCTCTTCGTCTTCTTCTTCTTCTTCTTCTTCTTCTTCTTCTTTCTCGTCATCTTCATCTCCATCATCTCTCCATCTCCATCTCCATCTCTTCCATCTCTCGTTCATCTCCTTTGTCACCCTGCACCCCTTGCTTCCATCTATCCATCAGGATAGATAGATAGATAGCCAGAGCTCATCAAGCTCCCTCTCTACAAGTACAGTACACACAGCAGCTAAGTCCCCAACCGCCCCTCCACAATGTGGCACATCCGCCCCGGCGAGTCCCCGCTCGTCACCGGCACCCACACCCGCCGCCGCTCCTCCAACACCCTCCCCCAGCACCCCCTCGCCCCCGCCCCCGCCCCCAAAGCCTCCCAAGCGCACACCCGGCGCCAATCCATCTCCAGCACCACCACCACCACCACCACCAACAACAACCCCGCCCCGCACCGCCTCGACCCCAGCACCGTCTACCTCACCCCCCGCATCCTCCCCCGCCGCATCCTCTCGCTCAACGAGCCGGGCAGACCGCAGGGCGGCCGCCCGCTACCTACCACAAACTCAAACCCCAACTTTAGGAGTGCGGCGGAGAAGAACATCCCGCAGGGACCGCACAGGTACGGCGGTGTCAATCTGCCCTCTGTGCCGGAGTTCGCACATGGGGGTGTGAACGGGGCTGGGGCTGGGGGCAAGACAGTGTCGAACTCGTACTCGCTGCCCGCGAACCTGACAGCAAGCTACCACAACAGCGCCACCAAGCGCCCCAGCTCCCGCCCACACTACCCACACGGTGGCGGCGGCCACGCGCACCACCGCAGCAGCGGCTACCACCCCAGCGTGCGCGTCTCTGCGCCACAGAACCTCGGCGGCGACCGTAGCAGTCCGCTCGACGACCGCGAGACGCAGTCGTCCAGAATAGTGCGTAGGAGCTTCAGCAGTACCAGTTATAGATTCCTGACGGCAGAGCGTCCCGCTGACTATGACCCCGTCGGGGCGCGAAAGGTGTACAACTACATGCCGAGCGGGTACTGGGCCGGCCGCATCAGCTCCATCATGGACCGGCTGGCGGCGGAGTATCCGGATGTGGCGCTGGCGGAGAGGGTCAAGATGGCGTTTGGGGATTTGGGGGTCATGGCGTGTGGGCCCGGCGCGGAGCAGTCGTTGATGGTGTGTAGTTTTTTTTCTTTTTGGGTTCCCTCTTGGTGATTTTGCGTTGGTGTGCTGACTGTGGGGGTGGATTAGGAGTTTAAGAGGGCGTTTGAGAGGAAGATGAAGGATGGCAAGATCTGAGGAGCTGTCTGTCTGGGACGCCGGCTGCCCTAATGATTAAAACGATGATACCCACAGAAAGAAAGAATGAAAGCAACGGGAAAACAGGATGAGAAGAAACATATTTTTTTTTTTACCTCTCACTCATCTGTATAATAAGCTCGAACAGGTTGCTGGCATGTAAATAGCTACATGAACAAACAAAAATACTAATACACCCCTCTAACGCCGTCCCATGTCCTATAACCTAGAAACAAGAAATATAAACACAATATAAACACATAAAACCCATAAAACACACATAAAAAAAAGTACCAACTACATACTACTCTTTATATCTTCCTATCCACCCACTCCCTCATAAACACCTCATCATCAATCCCACCCCCCCTCTGCCTCTCGGGCGCCTCACACCCCTCCCTCACCTGCGCCGGCACCTCCCACCCCTCCGCCTCCTCGCCCGCCACATAAAACTGCATCACCATCCCCGCCTCCGCATGCCACACAATATGGCAATGCAACGCCCACACCCCCACATTATCCATCAGCACCCTAACCAACACCCACCCATACGCCTCCACACTCACCGTATCCCTCCTCAGCGGGTTGCGCGTCTCCAGCCCCACGCCCCGCCCATAGCCCGCCAGGTCATAATACCCGCGCCCCTGGCCCAGCACCCAGAAGCGGTGGCCGTGCAGATGGAGCGGGTGGTTGCCGTCGTCAAAGTTGTCGATCAGCAGGTCCACCACCGTCCCGGCCGCTACACGCACAACCATCTGGCGCCCCGCGTCAAACGCCGTCATCACGCCGGCCGCCGTGACGGCGTGCGCGCCGAACGAGGAGGCGTTGTGCGACCGCAGGCCGTCGACGATGGAGACGAGCGTGGGGGTCTGCGCGGGCCGCCAGGAAGAGCCGTTGAACGAGCCGCGCGCGAGCGCGTATGCGCCGATCTCGAAGTTGCTCCTCAGGCGGATTAGGGTAGCCGCGGGGGGCGGCTGGACGGCGGGGGACGGGGCGAGGAGGGTCGTGTTGAGGTCTTTGCACTCGAGGTCTGGGGACGCGGAGCGGGCGGTGGTGGTGGGGAGGAGGTGCGGGGCGTGGGGGGACAGGGGCGGCGGCGAGGGGGTGTAGTGGAGGATTGCGCGGACTTCGGTGTTGAGGGCTGGTGGGATGGCGGCGAAGCAGTGGGGGAGCATGCGTGCGCGGAGCCAGAAGGAGGGCGGGGAGGAGGAGGAGGAGGAGGGGGGGGGGGAGACGGCGCGGAGGAGGACGGTGTAGCGTTGGGCGATGTTGATGCGGAGGCGGTGGAGCGGGGTTGGGGTGAGGGGGGTGCCGTCGGCTTCGATTAGCGTCATTCTGCGGGGTGGTGTTAGTGGTCATTGGCCCCTGGAGTTGTAGTAGTAGTGATCATTGACACTGGCGCTCAACCAGCCAGCCAAATAAGTAGTCAAAAGGGGCGCACATACTCGTGATTATCAATCTCGACATCAAACTCCGCAAACGCGCCCACATTCACAAACCTGAGCCTATGCACGCCGCCCATCTCCACCCCCACATACTGCATCCCGCCGCCCCAGCTCTCATTACACACCCTCCCCTCCGCCACCACGCCACAATCCACCCTGCCCCGCCCATTAATCAGCGCCCCATCCGGGACCGGCTCCGCATTCTCGTTGTCGGGCGCCAAATAGCCCTTCAGCAGCGCGGCCGACACATCATGATAATAGTCCTGCACCATGAGCACGCGGTCACTACTCACCCTCTGTTCGTCCGGCGCGTGGATGATCAAGGGCCCAAACACGCCGTCGATGCGCGTGGTCGAGAAGTGCGCGTGGTACCAGTATGTGCCCGAGGTATGGGCGACGGTGAAGACGTAGGTGAAGGATTCGCCGGGGGCGATGGGGCAGGAGGTGATGCCGACGGTGCCGTCCATCCAGGGCGTGCCGTGCTGGTGCTGGCCGTGCCAGTGCAGCGAGGTGCTGTTGGGCGAGTGGTTGTGGAGGGTGATGTGGAGGGTGTCGTTGGTGTTTGCGCGGATGAGGGGGGCGGGGAATTGGTTGTTGAGGAGGAGGAGGGTGCGGAGGACCCCTTGGGGGGTGTTAGTCTCTGATATGTGAGGGACGAGTGATGGGGTGTGATGAGTGGGGTGAGTGTGAATGCGATGCGGTGGTGCGGGGACACTTACCATCAGGACTCCCGACCGCCTCCGTCAGCGTCAAGTTATAGTACCTCGTCGTCGGCGGCGCATTCACGTCCCACTCGGGGTCGAGGACATAGTCGTCCGGGTCTCTGCCCATCACGCTCACCGGCGAAGCCGTCGGCGGTGCAGCTACATGCGAAGAAACCTCGTCTCCATCGGTACCCAGCGGCGTTGGTATCACTGGCCGAGGCGGTGCCTCGCGGAACGCGGGGACCAGCGGCGAGAAGCTCGAGTAGAGGAAGAGGAAGAGCAGCAGCGGCAGCAGACTGAGTGCGCCGAGGGTGTAGAGCGTTTTTCGGGCGGTTAGGCGGCGCGGGGTGGTGGTTGTGGTGGTTGCGGTGGTGGGCGCGCGGTTGGCTTCGAGGAGGGGCTCGACGTCGGCGGTGGTGGTGGGCGGCATCGTGGGTTTGTGAGTGGTGGTTACTCTACATTCACGGGTAGTAGCTGCAGAAGAGGAGGCTCAACGGAAGTACTCTAGAGACTAGAGAGATTGGGGGGGGGAATGAGTGAGTGAGTGGGGGGGGAATGAGTGAGTGAGTGAGTGAGTGAGTGGGGGGAAAGGCAGAGAAGGGCAGACAAAAAAGTGTACTCGAGATGTCGACTCGCGCCGGGCAGAGAGCCGTGGTGGGGAACTCACAGGGAAACGATATCCAACTCGCTGGGCGGCTGGTAAGCATCGGAGGTGCAGCTTTGCCGTAATTAGCAAGTCTGCGCGGGCTGTGCTGCCGGGGGAATTCTAGGCACACACGCTAAGTAAGCGAGCACCACACAAGCTTTGCCGAGCCCCCACACACACACGTTGAGCGGTGCAGCAGCAGCCCACTCGAGCCCGGCAGGCCGTCCACGCCCCCCCCCTGGCTGGGCATCTGGGATACTCAAGAGTGGGGTCCTCTAGAGTAGGTACTTTTAAGCATGTATGTAGGTGGTGGTGGTGGTGGTGGTGGTGAATTGCTCTCCTCTCCGCCGCTTCCCCTCCGGCCCGTGAGAGTTGCTGCTGTGAGGATTTGTCGAGTGGAATACTAGTAGATACATGTGCCTAGGGCGACACGCAGGATCTGGGATGCTGTCGTCGCCACCACCAGCGCCAGAGAGCTGTGCCGTCGTCATCTGTCTCATGCATGGGCCGATCCTGCAAAAACCTGGCTATCGTGCTCTAGGAATAGACGGATGATAGAAGGGTGTGTAGGCAGGTACTCTAGAGGTTCACTGTTTACCTGGAAGGTACACTCCGTAGAATAGAGTAGGTGGGTGGTGTACTATATTGCGCCTCTGGTCTTGACCGGTGCTCGCCCGTCGCCGGACATGCCTACATGGAATGCAGAGCTAGAGCGATATATCTACCACCCACCCACCCACCCCAAATCCCACGTCCCCTCCGTCGTCCGTTCCATAAACCCTCCGCCAACATCTCCACCAGCCAGTAGCTACAGCCAGTAAGTAGCACTGCAAACACCCCATCCATCCATCCACCCAAACCCCCCCCCCCCCCCCCACCACCCACCACCCACCACCACAATGCACTCCCCCCACCCCCTCTCCCTCCTCTCCCTCCTCTCCCTCACCGCCCTCGCCCTCACCACCGACACCCGCTCGCCCACCTCCTCGGTCCCCGGCAAGGCCTTCTCGCGCTTCGTCACCATCTGGCTCGAAAACACCGACTACGCCAAAGCCGAGGGCGACCCCTCCCTCTCCTGGCTCGCCTCGCGCGGCATCAAGCTCTCCAACTACTTCGCCGTCACGCACCCCTCGGAGCCCAACTACGTCGCCGCCGTCGGCGGCGACTACTTCGGCATCAACAACGACGACGCCAACACGCTTCCGGCGAACGTGTCGTGCATCGCCGACCTGCTCGACGACAAGGGCATCTCGTGGGGCAGCTACCAGGAGGACATGCCGTACTCGGGCTTCACGGGCGCCGAGTACCGCAACCCGCAGACGAAGGCGAACATGTATGTGCGCAAGCACAATCCGCTGGTGATGTTTGAGAGCGTGGCGGGCGATCCGGAGAGGCTGGCGCTGATCAAGAATTTGACGTGGTTTGGGAAGGATTTGGAGGCGGAGACGCTGCCGCAGTGGTTGTTTATTACGCCGAATATGACGTCTGGTGAGTGTGTTTTGCGGTCCATTGGTCTTTTATGTTTTTTTGGTTGTTGCACTTTTGCTTTTCTTTGTTGGGGACTACTAATTGGGGGGGGGTAATGATTAGATGGACATGATTCTTCGGTTACGGTTGCTGGGTCGTGGACCCGTGCCTTTCTGGAACCGCTACTGGACAATGAGTACTTCATGAAGGTAAAACTACTACTACAACACTCCAACGTATTTCCAGCTAACACTAATAATGATAATTCCAGGATACGCTCATTCTCGTCACCTTCGACGAGAACCACAGCTACACCACTCAAAACCGCGTACTCGGCATCCTCCTCGGAGGCGCCGTGCCCGCAAACCTAGTCGGCACCACCGACTCAAACTACTACGGTACCCCCTCCATCCCCCATCCTCCACCCTCTCACCTTCCCATTCTAGAACCCCCACTAACTGACCGCAAAACCAGACCACTACAGCGAGATCGCAACCGTCGAGGCAAACTGGGGCCTCAGCACGCTCGGCCGCTTCGACGTCGGCGCCAACGTCTTCGCCTTTGTCGCAAACGCCACCTCCGACACCATCCGCGCGCCGGCGAACCTGGACGGCATCTACCTGAACGAGTCCTACCCGGGCATCTTCAACGACAAGAAGTGGGGCCCGCAGCCGGCGCCGAACACGGAGCTGGCGCAGAACGGGAGGACGGTGCTGCAGGCCATCAAGGACGAGTGGGCGGATGACCAGGACCAGACGTACTATACGGGCTCGGTCGAGGTGCCGAGTAGTGCGAACCCGCCAACGTATGGATAAGTTCCTTTTTTCATTTTTTTTTTTCTTTTAATCTTGAGAGGGGGGAGGGGGGTTGCCCGGGGTAGTCTCCCAAGTAGTATGAATGGGACAGGGGTGGAAGACAGAAAGAAAGAAAAAAAGAATATGTAGCCCATACACAGTATCGTGGAGCAGATTGGTTGACATATCTCAAAATCTTAAAGATTGGCTAGTTCAAACGTGACCTCCTCGAACTCCTCCAGCTCAACATCAACAAACGCACCCACCTCTTCCACCACTGGCACAACCGGAGCAAACTCAGCAGGGAAAATGGCAGTCAGTGGAGTGCTGTGTGGGCTTGTGGGGACGGTGTGGATGGTCGCCGTGCAGGCAGGGTTGTAACGGTCATACCGTTCCGTGATTGATCGTGAATGGGGGAACTGTCCTCCGAGAAGAAATTCTTCTTCGGCGGTCGTACCACTGCACTGTATTGCAGCGGCGGCGGCGCGCTATTTACCCGGAGGTTTTTATTGGCCGGGGGGGGGGGTGTATTAATAAGATTTGGCGGGAAGTGTAAGCTATATATATTGTAAATATATATATACAAGGCGTTTCCGTGATACCCGGTGGGCATGTAGGGATGAGTAACGGTTATGGAATGATATTGTGTATGCGGGCGGGCGCTTGGAGTTGGTTTTGCTGCTTTCATGTGTTTGTGCTAATAGACTTTTTTTCCTTTTTCCGAATTTGAGTTGGTGATGCCTACATAGAGTACCTACTATCGATCCTGGTTCCCTGCTGCGCATCAGATGCGGAATTTCAAATCCTGCTTTTGTGGTTGGCCGGTTCTCTTCGGTTTGGAGATGGGGTTTTGTGCTAGGTGGTAAAAGGCCATGGAATCTCGTGCAGACCCACAGTGGGAATCCACTTTATCGATATGATGCATGTAATATTTTGATATCGATATCTATCTTAGAAACCTTCCTGTCTTGGACGGATTACGTGTTCAACACCTGCCGACCCTGTCATAGTAAAGATACGTCCGTGGCTACCAGTAGATGTAAAGAAGACAAATCTTTCTCTGTGATCGTGAACTGGTTTAGACGTTACTGGATTGTACTCTAGTTGCACGTTGTCCTTACGACCGGACCCAAGCAAACCTAGCGGAGTCTAAACAGGACACATACATACATGTGCGACGCGCGGGCCAGTCCCGATTGTCTGTGCTGCATTTTGACATGAGTGTTGTGTTGAGAACCCCATCTCCGGGTGCTCTACCGTTGTGGTTGATGCTTTTGTGTATGTAGTGGGACACTCAATCACAAACAATCACTCGCTGCCCGTTAGTCTCAAAAAGGCGGCACAGCTCTTGGCTCCCCCCGTAGGCCCGTAGGGCTGTTTTACTGTCTCTGTCTTCGACCCAAGCCCAGACCCGACACATGCAGCTTCGCAGATGTGTATAGCCAAGCCCAGATTCAGGAAACGCTCATCCGCGTCCCCCATTCCTTTCCATGTTCCTGTTTGATGCGGACTATTCTAGGCGAGCTCAGACAGGATCCGCGGATTACTGCACATAAAAGTGAGAAGCGGCACTCTACAGGCGGAAACTGGAGACACTGGACTGTTCTCGGACGAAAAGCCCAGACGTATAGCTAGTACTAGGACAAAAGTTTTTGGGAAACTACACCTTTTACAGCCAAAGCACCCATGTTTAGCGACCCAAACCAACCACTCAGCCTCGGACAAGAATTCCAACTCTTCAAGGACAAAAAGTCTCGCTCCAGCTGATGAATTCAGGACATGTTTCATTCTCTTCCCTGATCTTTGAAGCTACATGTGTGCCTCTCAGACCAGAAATAGGCAGCAACGCAATTACGCGCCAAAATGTATTTCTGGACTTGATATCGGTTTACTAAGAGGCTTAACTGCGAAAAGAAAAAGGTTCGGACGAACATTTGGGTGACACGAGATCGTATCAGCGCAGGTGGATCTATGGAGAGATCTGGTTGGAAGGTCGTCCGTCGTACAGACACCGAAACCGAAAGAAAAAAAAAATTAAAACACTGCATACAATGGGAATCTCTATTCTCCTGTCGAAGATGATTTCGAGCTGGGCTTGGCTAGTGTTACATCCGGAACTGACTAGTACTGAGACTGTTTGACGGCCTCACAATTCAGTGCTTTTGTACTTTATATTCTCCTACTGCTTATCTTTTTACCCGTGGTAGCATCTTACACCTCAAGCCCGCATCGCCGGGAGACAGGATTGATCACATCATAGCCTTGGCTCGGACAAACCAAATGATCTTTGATGCCGGTATATTTGTTTCTTTGGTATATGTATTAAGAGCATCATTACTCATGAGCTATGTAGCTGGTACAACCTCAACTACGCCCGAAAACACAATCAATAAACATGACTGAGGAAATTCATAAACCATTGATCCTTTGATAATGTACCCCTCGTTCAGTTTACCTTCCGTTCCCGCGCTCCTCGACCAGAAGTGACCCATCATCCATACTCTCCTCTACCTCCTCCTCCACAGCAGCACCCTCATGCGGCACCAGCGTCTCCCCAACGTGCCGAAAATGTCTATCCGAATACATCAAGCTAAACACCTCCTCCGGCCCGGTCCCAGCCACGTACTTCTCCTCGCCGACAACATCCACCTTCGTAACCTTCCCCACCCACAGCTGATGATCCTCGATCTGTATAGTTCTATGCGTCTCGCACTGCAGGCGGAACATGACATCATCCTCTCTCCCAAGCAGCGGCGAGCCAAAAGGGGCATTCGCCAGGGTAATCTGGCTCCGGGTGAACGAAAACGGGGAGATCTTTGCCGAGTTTGCAGCGCCCAGCTGCGCAAACTTACTGGCCAGGAATGCGGACCGCGGCGAGGGCCGTAGTATGTGTACAGCGAAGGACCCGGCTTTGGTCATTGTGCTGGCGGCCGAGGAGGGCGTCTTGATGTTGAAGGAGACTAGTGGGTGCGGGTTTAGGGAGAAGCAGTTGAAGGACGAGAGGGTTATTCCGCGCCATGTCTGGGGGGAGCTTGATGTTGCGGATGTCACTATCACAACTTTGATAAAGGAAAGAAAAAAGTATTAACGATCAATTTAATTAGGCATTTTAAGTGGGGGAGAGGGGGAAAAGGGAAGAACACCTGGGTGTGGTATTTTTCGCATTATATTCCGAAGCGCCGAAGAAGTCTCATGAGAAGCTTGAGGAGGTGTTTCGGAGGTGTACAAGCGGGTGTTCCGCAGCTGTGATAGTGGGGTACATATCGCTACCTTTGGCGCACGAGAGCACACAAAAGACACCGACGGGCGCTGGGGGAACCCCCGCTGGAGTAAAATACGAGGAGAGAGTGCTGAGTTCATTGAGGTTGTGGGCGGACTTATTGAGGCATTCGTGGTGGTCGTTGGGGTTCAAGGTAATGTGACGTAAAGTATACTTGAGCGAGGTAAGAAAAAAAGTTGTGTGAAACAACGAGACCCCCGACAACCTCTCTCGCTCACACAGCTTATCTACCACTCATTACATACGCCGCGGCACAGAAGCGGGGGCGGAAAGACATAAAACTTGGGTGCTGGAACAGTTTGGAGATATCCGGAGCGAATCTATTGGAGGAATGTCAGTGCGCGCTTCCAGTCGGTTACTGCGTCAATCAGGACGACTCGGTGGTGGTGGTGGGGTCGCCGGATTACCGTCAGTAGGAACAAGAGCCGCATCAACAACAGCTTCTTCTTCTGCTTCTGCTTCTGCTTCTGCTTCTGCTTCTTCTTCTTCTTCTGCTTCTTCTTCTTCTTCTTCGGTTGAAGATGTCGCGGAATCGCCGGCAGGTACCTCGAGCGCCGTGAAGAAAAATGTATACAAACCACGTCCGCCGCCGGTATCGCCTCTTATGGACGAAAATAAATACATTCCAATCTCACGGCGTCTTCCGCCGAAGCCCCAGCGACCGAGGGGAACTGAAATTTTGTCTCCCAGGGAAGAAGCGTTGAAAGTTAACCCGTACGGTATGGGTTTCCTGCCTGTCCTCTCTTGTGGAAATACTAATGTTTTGTGTAATCGATAGCAAAAATACTAGCAACAGAAGTCCGCAACGAAGTCGATTTCCACCGAAGACTGCCATCATGGTTCCTCATCCGCTTCGCAATACTCAAGCATCCAGAAACAGATGAGATGTATCTTGTTCCGGACAGAATCAAAGAGGAGCCGCAGAGGCAGACTTTCACGGCCGGGAGGTGGGCCATCAATAATATGCAGCTATTCAATCTGCTTGAGGAAAGGAAGAACTGGCGAAAGCTCGTCAACCATAATATTGACGGTCGTAAGATGGTCTGGAGGAAGAACATGGCAGATCACGTACTGAAGATTACCCGGGAGAGGGTTCATCTGGAAACGAATAAGTTACAGCGGCGGGAAATCGTAGAGATTCCATGGGATTGTGAGAACGAGGGCGAGGTTGGTTGTGTCTTGGATTGGAGCAAGGAGGATTGGAGCAAGGAGGAAGCTTATCAAAACAAGGAATTTTTGACGATGGTACGGGGAAAATCCGTTCCTTTGCATCATATGCGGACACTCCTAGGGGATGAGATAGCTACGGAGATTCAAGTGAAGTTAAGGATCCCAGATGGAGTCACTAGGAGTGGGATATTACTTCACGAGAGATCATTGAAGGCACAGATGTGGTTGATGAGGATAAGAGCCTACTTAGGCATTTATTGAAATCTGATATTCTTTTATCCCATAAGGTTTCTATACTATCTCCCCGTTATTTCAAGCCAGCAAACATAGCCATACAGTTATACCCAATACCCCACTCGAAACTTGGATTTTCGGGCAATTGTTCTTAATTAAATAATGATCATGTACTATCACTCGGTATGACTACTCTTGTTTAGTCGCTTTACCCTCAATCTGTAGAATCTTACAAATGAGGCAGCTGGTAGACAAGGAAACAATCGCAATGTTGCAATGGTGGCATTTGTTAAAGGCAACCAACGTGGGAGAAATTGAATCATAAGGGATCACTCTACTTTCTGGATCACCAAGGATCACGCAGCGATCTTAATCATAAAGTATCACACAGCTTTATACATACTTACCATGATCATTCCATATACATGGAATATGCCTACATATGATCAACGTTGTACAAATGCACTATTGTCTTTAGTGCAGCAGTGGTTACACTCCTCAATGTTAAAGATAACAGACAGATCGGTAGTTGAGTCGACACGTATCCTGGATAAACGTATATATAGACCCTCGTGAAGACCTTCTGGGTCAGTATCATCATCGTAGTCAACCTCTTACTTTCTCAATTGATAAGGACCTCACGCTATTCTAAAACAAAAAACCTAGCCTCCTAAGGGAAATCTGTTACCTCTACTAGGTATCGTATGTACCCTACATGCCAAGAGAGATACCCAGCTGTTGTTTCACATGGTCTGCATCTTACCACATGCCGGACTCCTAACGCACTTTTCGGCAGGCCGCATTTATTAAAGTGGAAAGAACACCAAGCGATCACCAACACGTAAGACAGTCTGCGGAATCTGACATTGTAGTACCGGACGCAAATAGCCGGAGTTCAGCTCCAAAACAAATCATTGCAGCGCACGTGAACATTCACCTGAAGACAACGACATCCCACATTTCCTCTTCACACTTCTCAGCTTTCTATCAGCTTCACAACTACTGTAGTAAATAATGGCAGACAATACCGAGGAATCGACAAAACATTTCAGAGACGGTAGCGACGTTTATACAAAGCTCTGGAAGGTTAGCTACATCGACGCCTAACTATCATTTCTAATCCTCTGCTGATAACCAAATCTACATAGACCACTTCCGAGCCAGTTGCCCATATCTTCTTTCTTCATGGCTTTTCCGATCACTGTAATATTGCCTATCACAATATTCTGTCATAATTGCAATCCTAACTGTTACCTGCTCTAGGCAATGCTTATTATACATTCCCGTCCTTAATGGCCTCCCGTGGAATTGAGCTATTCTCGTTCGACCAGCGCGGCTGGGGACGTACTTCTCCCTTGAAAAGCCAATATGGCCATTCCGGCGGAACGGCACAAATACTAGCCGATATTGACGACCTACTCTCCACACGACTAACAGAGCGCCCGAATATTCCTTGTTTCCTGGTTGGCCACTCGATGGGTGGTGGTATTGCATTAACTTACGCACTCCAAGGTAGCCACAAAGATAAACTCGCAGGAACTATTGTGTGGAGTCCTATGCTTGAGCTTGCAGATAAGCCGCTGGCGCTTGCGGTCTATGCTGGTAAGATTGGGGCTAGAATTATGCCAAATAAGCAGATGGTGCAGAAGTTGCCAGCGGAATACATGAGTAGAGACAAAAGCGTTTGTGATGATTTTGCCAATGATCCGGTTCCTACCCCTTCTCCTGGAATGGTTGCGCAACTGTTGACAAAATGCCCTAGCTGTGCCACGATACCGGTACCTTAATTGGTATCTCAGATATGTTAACTCGTGGAGAGAATCTTATGAAAGCCAATTTCAGCGCCGGCTTTACAGCCGATAAACCTATCCTAGTCTTGCATGGTTCTGGTGACAAGGTAACCATATATACATAACTATCTCTACTTATAAAGTATTCCCCTTATAACTAACCGCCATTTCTGCTAGGTTACAAGTCACGATGCTTCCAAGAAGTTTACCGAAGACTTGTTGAAAATCAAGGATAAAACATTCTCCTCATACGATGGATGGTATCATAAAAGTTAGTTTCCATTTTCGCCCGTTTGCCTGTTTCTGAATTATTGATCTGATTTTGTTATACTAGTGCATGCGGAACCAGGCGAGGATAGAATAACATTCGCGACGAATGTTTCGGACTGGATTCTCGCTAGAGCCACTCCTGGGGCAACATCGAAATTGTGATAAATACATGTGTGGGGGAAATTCCGATACGTGGGCTTTTCATTAGTATTGTTGTTTGTTTATTTATATATGTGTTAAGCATATTGTTACGGTTGCCGATATACCTAAACACTGGAATCCTACAATTCTACTTGTTACTGGACAGGTTTTTCCAATAGGTTTTTAATTTAACTGGCCGGTTCTCAATGCTAGCGCATAATTGGACCCAAAGGTTGGGAGACGAACAATCTCGGGGTGACAACATAATCTTAATTAGACTCGTGAGTGATGTAATCGATGGAAAAAATTTACGAGTGAGAGCCTATGATTTACCAAGACACAGCTTTTGACTTGAACAAAGATAATGAAACCTAACTTTGCAAAACTGATAATTCAATCGACTCCAGATATCACGCATCCCACAATCCCTACTATAACCAATCGCCCGAAAACACCAAAAACATGAAATTCAGCAAAATGCTATATATACTACATGTAGTACAAAATGACATGCTAATCTCAACTCAGAAAGAAAATATCCCTCCCGCCGCCCCTCTCTAGTCCTCTGCAAATCACAACGACCGTGAACAGTGCCAATATCCGGACAAAGCCCAGACACATAGTACATCATAAAGCGTACATAAAACCCCACACACGTGGATTCGTTCCAAAAAATGCATCGAATCGTATAATCAGCTTCTCCTCTCTGGCATAAACACTCCCATCAACCCAGGCGGTGGAAAGCTAGTCGCAATTTGTCCCAAAGACCCGTGTCCGCTATTGCTTCCAATATCGTAGTTAGGGTTTTGCAGAGACTCGGAACGTTCAAGCTCTGACATATTTGTGATGACGCTACCATCGGAAAAGATGGACATGGAACGTTCGCGGTTATTCGGAGTAGAGATGGGGGCATGTTGATTCTGCAAGACCAATCCAGGGGGGGTGGCTACATGCATAGAGCCGTGGTTGCTGTGGAGACCATCGGGAGTCGACGGAGGGAGCTGAGATTGCTGCTGTTGGAGAAGTGCAGCCTCGGATGCACGATAGGCTGCCCAGTTTTCCTGAGACTTGAGATGATGCTCGTGCATTTTGACTTCCATGCGATAGATTGCCTCAGTAAACTCTTTTTCCAGCGAGGTGCGGTGAGCCTGGAGAGCCTCCCTTCCCAATTGCCTCTTTTCTCTGGCCTCGGCTTCCTGGGATATCTCTTGACCGGCTTTCTCGAGGTCGGCGCGCAGCTTGGTGAGTTTCGCGCTCAACCTCTCCTTTTTGGTCGCAAGGGATGCTGTTTCAGATTCTACAGCCTGGGCTTGACGATCTGCTGCAGCTTTGGCTTCACCGGCTTGGTTCTGTGCTGTGAGGAGTCGACTACGCTCTTCGCGCCAAAGCCTTTTCTTCTCCTTCCACTCGGCCTTCATGGTCTCGGGCACATTCTCTAACTCTGACAACTCCCGCAACATTTTCTCATTTTCTTCCTCGGCACGCTTGATAGCTTCTTTCAAGGCTAAATTCCTACGGAAAGCACGTTCCTCTCCTCGATCATTTCCAAGGAGGGATCGGTGCTTTTCGATTTCTTTGCGGATATCACTCAATGTACCTTTGTGAGTTTTCTTAACGACCTTAAGCCGATTCTTTTGTTCGAGTAAACAAGAATTTGCTTGTGCAAGGGTATTGAGAAGGGTGGTGATTGGAGATAGAGGGCGTGATGGCTGCTGTTGAGTGGCGGCAGGGGCAGCGGCGGAAGAGGCTAAAACTAAGTCAGAACCAAGTTCAATCAATATCTGAGTATCAATGCACATACCTTGAGCGGCGGGAATTGTGCAGGCGCTTGTCTTGTAGACCACCTGCAATCCCTTCTTCACAAATTCGAAATCGTACTCAGTTGCACCGGTGAGCCCAGTGATATCAATGGTCCATTCATCTTCGGCAACTCCCATGGCCTCTCCATTTTCTCCGTCGATATCTCCGGATCCGGTAGCTTTGTAGATATCGGTCTGTGGCCACACAATGCCATTTACTCGGACAAATAATGGGAATGTTCCATCTTTACCACTACCGTCAGTGCCATTGGTCACAACACCGTTCATACCATACATCTCCTCCCCACCACTCTTCGCTCCAAAAAAGCTCGCAGAAAAGCCAATATCAGTTGACCCAATCTTTGTTATCCATACCCTCACATCCTCTCCGTTGGATAGCGCTGAATCGTTGGTGGCTCCGGTTTCGATTGGGTTCGAAATCGATGCTTCCGACGATATTTGAGATTGCTCTACTTCTTTTGCAATGTGGACTATGGCGCTAGCCATAGTCGCCCATAGTGGTTGATTGTCTCGAATATGTTGTATTTGATTTTTCTTTTTTCGCCTACCACCGGATGTCCCGGCAGTACTGCTTTCGCGCTCGAGGGGCTGTGATAACGCCCCGGCAGCGGCTTCTGGGTCTTTGTCTTTTTGTTTTCCTAGCGGGAGAGGTTCTTTTGAATTTGTAAGATTTGGTGTCGATGCATCTGTCGTGTCTGGCCTCCCGATCAACCATCTCCTGGTCGCCCTCATAACACCCTGCGCAACAATATGGATCGCAATAGCGCTACGAATCCATCCCGCGGAAGATCCTATCCTACCTACAAGTTCTGAAGAAGGGCCTCCCAAAAACGATTCCGAGTGCGGCTGTATACCATCCCACGCATCCGACAATTTGAACCTTCCTTGGACCACCTTGACTCCACCCATCACTCCAGCACAGACAACAGCGTTTCTGAGAGTTCCCCCACTTTGGGTTGCATGCCCGGCACCCATTGAGATGGCAATGACTGCCTGGGCAAAGTCT